TACGGGATAGTTCTAGAAACGTGGCGTCACACTAGTCATGTGACTCGCTGACGCAACAGTATCCTTGATCTGAGTGAAGTTGCATAGGTAACCCTAGTCTTGAAACAAATTCATTGATAAATTTGCTTGCTAGAATGTCTGCTTCCTTGTTAGAAACACTATATGATTCTTGCCAGTTGGTGAAATAGTACAAAACAACCAAGATATATTATTCCCTCTGTTACTCTGTGGCAAAGGACCAAACACATTGACAGCAATTCTCTCAAATAGTAATTCAACTCAATACTAGAAGCTACCCATGCTGATTCTTTTGTAAATATTTTTTCCTATATCATAGTTCATGTTATTTACCCTAACTAATTCTCTGCAGACAGACAGCGAACATCTCAATAGAAGCATTCTTTTACTCTCTCTAGTATCTTCTTAATGCTTTGGATGATTATGAAGGCGATAGAGTGCTTTGGAGATTCAAGACTGAGGAAATACTAACTGTAATAATTGTTTCTGTCTACTGGTATCTTTCCATTTCCAAAATAAGAAGCCCTCTTGTATGCATGATGAATCTCATTGTACACAGTATATCTTTGTCTTTGACCTGTGTGAAGTGACTGTTTGCCATGAGGGTTTTTCTACACTGTTGTTGATTCACTGAATAATTGGTTTCAGACTTTTTCCTGATAATTATTCAGTTGAGTGTTGGAACACATTAGCTCTTCATTATTACTTGTAGATGTACATTTAATTATAATCTCTTGTAGTTTAAATTTATCATATTTAATACCTCATAGATCTCTGTTTTCATAATGTTCATATTCTTCACCAATACACTGTTTACTTCAGCATTTCCATGATTCTGTCCAAGGCAATTCATAATGTTAAAGTTGTACTTCTACTGCAAATCACTGGCAATTGTATCTAAAATGAGTACAAATGTTGGGTATGCTAATATAGGAGTAGTGATTAATTCTTCTTTCAATTTATTTAATGCTTGTTAGCACTTATGATACAACAAAACTTATGTGTGTATCTTATTATAATGGAGCTTGCAATGTATACATTCAAAACTCAGACCTCTGAAACTACGCATCCCATCGTCAACAATCATAACTGGGTAATATTTTTATAACTAGGCAGTATTTTTATAGCTAAGCAATAAATAAAACAATTGAAATTTTCCACAGAAATGATGTTTCAGATTTAACCAATAAAACTTAAAAACTTAAAAAAATATTTGTCTTTCTTTAGTGAAAATCTCATGAGTGTTGAAACAGAAAAGCAAGGCACTTTCATTGATAACTGCGTCTACAAAGAAACACTTCAATAAAATCTAACTCTGTAATGTAATGCTGTGATGATAGCCCATTTTTAAACTAAAATTTCAATAAAATCCTTTCCCTCATGGATGGGGAACTTTATTGAATGTCAAGTATGAGTACATTGTTGTAGAAATGTCAGACAATTCCAGAAAAGGCTACAGGCCCAGTAGCCTTCTGCAGGAAGTAGCAGTTATATCTGCTGAAGGGCAGGTATTTCTGTTAGGATATGTTAAAGATTTTGGTATAAAATCAAATAATGAATTTGACAAAATATCATAACAATATTCACATACCTAAATTAATTTTAGGTTACTATATGGTAAAGTAAAATGGACTCAAAACCCTATTGAAAACGTATGATTTTTTAAGCAATTTTTGTAAATGATGAGCTATGTCAGAAAATGATTTTACAAAATGATAATAGTAAAATTACAGTCTAAGAAATCCTTTTATGTCATGCAAGCTCTTTAGTGTTGGCTAATTCTGGACAGATTGGTCTGTAAGCTCTACCTCTCTGCTGACTGCATGCAAGGAAACCCATCTGTTGACAACACAGTTCACATTTCTTGGGATTCAGCTTAATTAAGGTTCTTTTTCCTTCAACAAATCCACAACTTTTCTTAGCACTTCATAAATATTAGGTATTCTCGTGTGCAATTATGTCATACAAACAAACTCTCACAATGAATTTCATACAGTTAGGGTTGTCTTTGGTTGTTTGTCATTTCTTAGTGAAAAGCAGCTATGCTATCTGTGCCAAACAAACAGTAAAAATGCCAGAAGTAAAATAGTAGAAAATGTAAAAAGAAAACAAGTTAAAAGCTAAACAATGCCCAAAAATCGTGTAAAAAAACTAAATAGAATTTAAAAGGCCAATGGCCCACAAGATCTAAAAACTGAAGCAACCAGGACAGTGTCACCATCGCCAACAGTACTGTCCAATGTCAGTGGTAAACTCCAAAAAAACCATTAAAATAGTGCCACTGTTCACATTCATAATGATGACATGAAAGTAAAATGTGAGCAATTGAGACCTGAGTGTCACATAGGCCAAACACTGGCGGACAAGTTCCACATAAAAGAAAATGATGAGTCAAAAAACTTTGACCAATGCATAGCTTAGCCAAGACAACTTCCTCTCATCGATCTCTACTGAAACTAGATGGCCAAAGAAGTTGCTCAACCCAAATTGACTGCCAACTGGTGCGAAGCCGTGCTTTGATCATAGGATCATAGTCCACATATGGGACAGACATGGCTGTGACAAAGTCAGAGCAGAGGGACATAGCTGTGGTGTCAACAGGCTCATTCCTGCAAATACCATCATGACCTGGTATCCAGAAAATATGGATAGAAACGAATGACAGAGAAAACTGAGCCAGTCGTTTCTGAATGTCTAAGAGAACAGGGTGAGGACTTACATTAAGTAATTCCAAGGTTAATAGAAAGTAAAGAGGGTCTGTGTAAATAGTAAATGTGATCCAAGGCAAGCGAAATGGCACACAACTCAACAGTAAACACAGAGACTGTAGAGCAGCATATTGCAAAGGAAGTTGCTGATGTTGAAGGTAAAGAGGAGGTTTATGAGACTCAGTGTACAGACTGGTGAAGTGTAGAAAGTCCTAGGTGTTGCACAAGGTCCAACATCTTGAAGGCAGAGGCCATAGCAGAACCATAGACACATTGCCCAGCTTGAATTGTATGAAAGCACGAAAGATCTTGAGCATGGAACATCTATCTGCTCCCCAAGAGGAAGAAGAGAGGACAAAGAGGATGTTCAGTGCCCTTGTACATTTGACATGAAGCTGCTTAATGTGAGAAATGAAAGTAAGCTTATGGTCAAAGATAACTTTCAAGAACTTAATCTCAGGAACCACAGGAAGAGAAAAACCAATACGATGGAGCTCAGTACCAGGTTGTAAATCCTATTGGCAGCAAAATTAATGCAAATGGTTTTAGAGGAAGAAAATATGAAATTGTTTGCTGTGGTCCACCTCAACAAGTGAGTGAGAGCAATCTGAAGCTACTGCTCAATAAACCTCATATTTGAGAAGCTGTCGACATAGAGGCTGTTTACAACAGTAGGAGGAAGTTGTTTAGTGATAGCATTGATATTTATACTGAAAAGGGTGGTGCTAAAAAAAAACCCTGAGGGACTCCACGTTCCTGTGAAAGAACAGGACAGTGTTGAACCCATACAGACATGGAATTTCCTTTCAAGAACAAAGTTACAAATATCAATGGGTAAATGGCCATGCAACCCACAAGAGTGGAGGTTCTGCAAAATGCCAAACCTTCACGTAGTGTCATGAGCCTTCCCAAGGTCAAATAAGATAGAAACAAGATGCTCTCCCTTGAGGAAGACATCCTGATCGAGGTTTTGAGATAAATCAGGTGGTCCATGGTGGAGAGCTGTTGAACCTGCTGGAAAGCAA